TTGGACAGCAGGATGATCATTAACATTTTAAAATCGTTTTCCAGGAAATTATTCTAAATTGTCCTTAAGAATATCAACAAAACAACATTTTCATCATTTTCGTCATTGATGGGCCAGATCCTGCCATATGACGAAAGGCCCAGTGCAAGGCATATCATATAAAAACATTTAAATGTCGATTTTCAGTTCATGGGAATGGGATATTTTGTAATTATGTTTCTCTAAAAATACACTGAGCAGACAACGCATCTTTGACACTCTCTTATCTTTATTTGCGTATTTGGTATTGAAGAAATCCAAAAGTAACTAAAAGTAATCAGGTTACATTACTTTTTTTTAATTTTTGGGTACTTGGATTACGTTACTGATTACATTTTTTAACAAGTAATTAGTAACAGTACAGTATTATAAAGTGACTGACCTGCATGGATCACCATGACAACAGCAGAAGTTTGGCAGTCTGCAGGACCCAGGTAAGACAGCCTTCCTCTGGAGAGAGGCATGGTCCATCTCTCCTCTCCTCTCTAGCCTTTTAAACCTCCACCTCCTCATTTTCATTTCCAACTCCTCTCCTTTCCTTTCTCCCTGCATGAATTTTATCTCCCCCTTTTCCTCTCTTCTCCTTGACCCCCTCCCCCTTGCAGCATTCACCATCCCTGACAAAGCCTTGAGCGGCTGCCAGTGGCCCCCCAGAGCCGACTCACTTCCTGCTAAAAATAAGAGCAGATCGCAGAGACCTGCCACCAAGGCCTGGAAATGGAGACAGGGTTTTGAGTGTGTGGAAAAACAGAGAGAGGAAATGGGTAAAACAAACAGCGCTGAAAGAAAGAGGTGATGGAGGTGGAAGAACGAGTTTGAAGGATAAAAAAAGATAGAGGGAGAGAAAAGAAAGAGAAAAGGAGAAACAAACAAACACTGAAGGATATATGCTAAACAAAATCTGAAATAAAATAGGAAGATAAAAAAAGAATTAAAATGAGATTCCTCTGGAGGAAAGATTAAAGAATAAAAAGTTTTGGAGAAGATAAAATTACCTGGCCAGGCTCAGTTTGTACAGACTCTTTCGAAATGAATACGCAAAACCTGATCTGTAAATCTGCTCTGCACACACTAAACAGCATGAGTTCCATTCATCTACAGAATGAGACGGTGTGTGTGTGTGTGTGTGGGGGGGGGGGGGGGGGGGGGGGGCAGTGACGGGAAGCAGGAGAGAATGAAAAGAGAGAGAAGGAATAGGAATAGCCAGATTATAAATATTTATATGAGCAGACGAGAGGAAGAGTAATAGATGGCAGAGTTGCAGGGGTAGAAGTAACAGCAGAGGAGAGGAGGAAGGGATGGAGAGAGGAGAGGCTGACTTCAGAGGCAGCAGCAGGCGCGTTTGGCTCGGTTTATCTTTTCTTTCCCGTCTCTCCCGTTGCCTCTCTCGCCGCTGGAGTGCGGGCTAGCGGATTTGCAGCTCTCGCTCCCCGCAGCTCGTGTGTGAGGAGGGGAAGGACAACAAGTTCTCCCCCTTATCGCCGCCCCCTCTCCGCCCCCCCCCCTCAGAGAAAGAGACGGACCCACAAAGGCCCACGCACCCTCTAACAGGCTTCTGCCGTTCCCGGCGAGGGTTGTGTCGGTGTTGATGATGCCGGTGACAATGATGGCGTTGATAGCAGGGCTGCTCTGCTCGCTCACACAGATTCAACAGTCACTTCATTCCAGTTTCCAATAGATATCCCATAGCGATGATAAGACTTACACTTGCTCCCAACTCAGCACAGAGATAAAATGCTTCCAGTGGAGGCTGGTGATGCAGAAAGTCAAAGGAGACACGACTGAGCTCGGTAATGCTCTTATACTGCTGCTTGGCAAAAGAATATGGCTCAGTGTACTGTAGAAATAACACATTACATTTACTCATTACTGTAACAAAGTCGTTTTTATGTACTTTTACTTATACTTAAGTCATTTTATCAAAAGTATTGATCTTCACTACATTTCAATTGGCATCCAATTAAAGGCAGGTGAATGTTCCATATTTGTATAACCCCCTTTCTAGTCTTTTCCACCACTCAAAGCGCTGTTACACTACATCGCATTCACACACTGAGCCTAAGTGCTCAAACAGAACTAATATTAACACACATTCACACACTGGTGGAACAACCACCCGGTTCAGGGTTCAGTATCTTGCTCAAGGACACTTGAGCGAGATACCTAGAGGAGCTGGGGATTGAACCACCAATCTTTAGATTAACAGGCAACCCACTGTAACTCCTGAGACACAGCCGCCCGTGACAATGGAACAGAAGAAAGGGGGTGGGGGGGGCTAACATTACTAACATTGAGCGAGAGGCAGGGTACAACCTGGACAGGAGTGAGAGCACCTTTAAGCAGAATGCCCAACGATTCAAAAGCAATTCAATTCAAGTGGGAAATAAATCCGCTGGTGTTGTTCACCTGATGTTCATGAGCTCTCCTGTGGTGAGAGGGCTCCGGGTGTCACTGCAGAAAACTAAGTTAACTACCAAAACAAGACAAAACAGCACCAACCAAAACACAGAGGCGGCCATATGCGGCGCCATCTTGGACACTGAAAGAAAGCTGATTCTATAGAGCGGCAGTTAGAGAATGTAAATACATTAACTGGCAGTGGAGTGAGGATCATCCACTCCTTCAGGCTTCTGAAAGGCCAAGGAATTACCTTCATTTGCCTGGTTTGTTTCAGTGGATTGTTCGTGCTGTTTCCAGATACAAAGGTGCTGTCAGTGCTAAACTACACAGATTTGAACTGGGACGGCTCTGTAGTCTCTATCAGAGCTGAGAGGAGCGTAACACAAACCAGACTCACACCACACCACATCACACTTAAAGGACCATACTGCGGGTTTTGCATATTTATCACTAAGGCCTTCTTTACATTACTGTGGTCTGTTGGGCACAGCATGGGCTTTTTGTTAGATTTCTTTCTTTCCAGGTTTCATGTCAGTATGTTATGAAAACTTTCAGAGACTTCCTGTGCATCAAAATGAAGATTCAGTCAACTTTATGGTTTTGTTAAGTTATCTTTGTGTAGAAATGCAGTTATGAGCAAAAAGCACTTTAAAAACTCCTTTGTGGTGTGTTCAGGGATCCTCCTCAAAGACTTGAGAATCACTGGCCACAAAGCATTCTGCATTCATTAGCTCTGTTGTCAAAAAACGGAACACAGAAGACAAACAATAAGCAGACTGTGAAATATCGCTGCTTCTTACAGTAGGCTACATTTTAAAAAAGCTGTTCAGTAGTCGATTCAAATCTCCTTGAACTCACCAACAAGGAAGAAAAGACTCAAATCTATTCAGGTCCGGGTATCATCTGATAATCCATTATTCATATGTAATTTAAAAAGTAAAAATAAAAATCTTTCATAAGAAACAGAGAAAGGCTTTTGGCAATTCATTTGATCATTATACCTTTTTGAATTGAAGAATGAAGAGGTCTGTATACTGCATCAGTTAGTTCGTAATTTCGCTTGAAACCAAAAACGAAAAAAGTCACTCAGTCTATTTGTTTTTTGTGCCCAAACGAGAACTGGGGAAAAACAAATTTAGACAATGATACAAATTTGGATTTTGCAAATACCTTTTTTCAGCTCTCTTTTGGGACAGTACGAAAAACTCAAAATAAAAGTAGGCCTATAGTTAACTGAAACTAACCTAAAAACTAAAACTAGGTGAGAACAAACATTTAAGGTAACTGAAATAAAAATAACTAATGAAAAATGCAAAACTGTAATAACTGGTTAGGGAGAACAAAGCATTTGCAAGACTATATTAATGACCTGATTTAGATAACTTGAACAAGTTGGTGCGAAATGTAGCTTAGCATAGTGTTTATTTATTTTAGTTATTATTATTATTATTATTATTATTTAATTAATATTTTAGATTGGTAACGTTTATAAACACTTGGCCATGTAGAAGCTTAACCAGCAGAGGTCACTCTACCCCCTGCTGAGCCGCCCAGAGGCAAAACTGTTGGCCTACGCATCAAATTGATAATAACTATTCTGACTGTTTATGTCAAGGAGTGGCACTGCTGCAACAGGAAGTTATTCACTGTGTTTGCCAATGGGTGTGCAGAACTTCACCTGACTTCCACTCTTTCAATGTCACTGTCACTCTTAAAACCTCTCTCAGCTCCCACAGTCTACTGTTACACCTTCTGTTCCAAATTAAATCTGCTGAGTTTATACTTTTTATTTTCCTTTGCAATTTTAAGAGCTTACATTTCCCGGTGTAATGTGTTTTAAATATGTAATTCTATTAAATATTTTAAATGCCCTACTTATTGTTTTTCTCATTCTTATGTGCTTATCTGTGAATCCTGGTGAGGATTCACAGTGAGTAAAAAACAGCTCAATTCTTTTGCTGTCCTTCTTAGGTTTAATTCTGTTTGATAGTGCTATTTAACCATTATTTCACCAGGGAACGACAGTGCTCTGCATTGTTCCTAGCTGTGAGTTAAATGAAATTGAGTAATTCAGTCTTTTCCATAATCTCACTGAGACTCAGTCCAGGACAACCTGCGGCTCACCTCCCCAGATTTCCCTGGGGGATCTGAGTCTGTGCAGGGTTTAAGGACAGATGGTAAGCGAAAGGTTGTCCCCAGTCGAAAATAAATGGATAAACGGAATTGCCAAAAACCATAAACTGACCGTTTTTGTTTTTGATGTAAATAACACATTTAAGTTTTTTTTTTTTTTGCTTTTAAGTTACAAATGAATGATAGGTTTTTCGATAATATCCACACCTTTTCAGTAAGGGAGGAGATCATTTTAAAAATCTATGTCACTTTAAAGAATTCTTCCTTATTCCCAAGTTTAGTTAAAAACTTTCAGCATCCAGAGTGAGTAAATTTAGCCTGGCACTGACCCCAGCTGTATTAATAGATAATCACAAGGGGACCCAGTTACAGAGAAAAGACTCCTGATCCACTCTGGATCCAGAACCACAACTTTCAAAGATGCTGACCTAGCCAGTCGTTGAACTTCTTGACCTCAGAGGGCAGTCCCAGCTCAGTGAAGTCTCCGGCATGGATGAACACGTCCCCGTACGGCATCTGGATTGCATCAGTGCGGGAGTGAGTGTCTGAGATGCACACAAAGCGAGTGTAGCCCGGAGGCTTGGGCGTGTCATGGGGCATCGGGTCCACCCTGAACCAAGGAAGAAGAACAGAAGACAAAAAAGTTAAGGGAGAGAGGAAGGGAAAAGGGGTCACTGCAGCTGTTGGTTCTCTTAAACAATAGAGCAGAAAGAGACACAGCGCTGTATGCAAAGTCTGTGGTAAGAGGATGACAATGAAAGAAGTTTGAAATAGTATCCAGCAGAAAATCATCCCCACAGACTGAGGCAGAGGAGCAAACAAGAGACATAGCGAGAAAAGAGAGCGAGAGGCCACAATAAAAGTGCAGCGCTGACAGAGACAGAAAGAGAAATGTGCAGAGATAAGAAAAAGAATAAAGCGCAGATATAGAAAAAGAGCAGAGTCCTGTGGGATTTCCAGCGAGTGTGCAGATCCACGGGGTCTCAAGGGGGAAGAGGGGAGATGGTGAATAACCATGGCCCACTTTAGTGAGCTCTACTCCAGGTACGACAACAGCCAGCCCTGCCTCCTCCTCCTCTGCACCCCGCCACGAGAGAGAAAGCGATGAGGGGAAGTGGGAAAGGAGATGCATGTAGGACAGCCAGTAAGAAGTGTGAGTCACAAAGTACTGAAATTCAGAAGGGGGTTCATGAAAATTTCCACAATTGAGTATACAGAAATGTAAGGACATTTAAGTGATGCTGCAGAGAAATTCTCTCTCTTAGCAAGTATTTAACTGTGTTTAATATACCGTCATATACCCCACTCCACTGCTCAACAGAAATACTGTTCAAATTGATTCTTCTCGCTTTTACGTTTCCGTTTCTGTCGATGAAATCAAAACTTTGTGGACAGATGTTTCACATTAAAAGCCTTCATGAAGCTCAAAGAGTCGCTGGTTAGGTCTGAACCATGTGACACATAATAGTACATTGACCATACTTTATAGTTCGAGCTGGCTAGAGATTCTGCCATTATTTGAACAAAGGCTTCTATTTGAGAATGTATAGTAGGCTATGAAATGTAAATCCTGTTCGAACTGTATTCCTTTCTATTTTTCTTGGCTTTGCCTCAAAACATTCATTTATTATAATCAGCTCTTAAAACTACAACCAACTCTGCTCTAAACTATAATATAAGCTTTAGCTGTTGCTAGCATGTTTTTGGCTAATGGTGCTAAGAGTATACTTTGTTGATTTCTAAGGTGAGATAGGCAGTTTATTTGATGGCTAGTTAGCTTAGTGTGTTGTTTTGATGCTGGTCAGCTTATAGCATGCTAGTTTTCCTGTTGTTTGATTGATTTGGTGTTACCATGCTAGGAAGATTAACATAGTAGCTGAGAATCATTTGCTTGGTGGGTTGAGCAGCAAGCTGCTTCTAATAGTAATATGCTAATAAGCTGGACATGTTGTTTGCTGGTTGTTGTTAGCTAGCATGTTGTTAGATGATTATGGTATGGGGATGTTGCAGTAGAAAAAAGTGAAAATAACTTGTTGGGCTGTGCTTAGCAAGCTTATTTGCAAGTTAAAAGCTAGTTGTGTTTATGCAAATTCAGATTCGGTGAATGGTTAGTCAATCCACCCCAGCATATCCATCATGCAATGCTCCTGCAGGATCTCCTGCTCTCCATTAAAAAATGAATGGGATCCGCCAACTTGACATCTGTCAATGGATCCAGTGTGTCTCCAGCTTCACACTCACACAATTTCATATTGAATGTTTACATTTCCACTTGCAGTGGTTCAAACAGCATACTTCCTCTCTGTCCAAGTCAGCTATTAATGTGAAACATCTACAGGAAGTGTTAGGTTTCATCAACAGTAGCTTAACAACAAAAAACTGACAAAGTATGATTATTAGTAACTGAGGCCAGTATTCTCAGAGCAGTGGTGAGTACGTCATAGACACTTGTAGCGTACTGATGGAATTAGTGCAGTGAAAATGTACGTTTTGCTGAATTTATTAAAAGGTAAACACAGAGGAAGAGTTGAGTTTGCAATTCTAGCAAACAGCAGCCACAGCAAATTAATAGAGGAAACAGAGGGAAGCAGGAAAGTTAGAAGTCAGGGCCTGCCTCTAACATGCCTCTCTCAGATAAGCATCCATGCACTGACTAAAGCTGTTGTTGTTGGTGCTGGTAATCCAATTGCTATTTTGTTTACCCCAACCTGGGTGGTCTGAGGTAACAGTTAGTGACAGAGTAGCATTCAGGGTCTTGCTCAGAGGTATCACAGACTCAAATAGACGTCAAATTAATTTCAAAAACTTTAATGCCAACACTGGTAAAATTCACAGTAGGGCAACACAGGGCTAAATCTTGACAGCAAGTCAAAATGACATCATCATAGCATTTTGCAGTAATCCATTTAGGGTTTCCGCTATGTAGATTTTGCAGCAGCGGCCCACCATTCTGCTCTGTCCACAGTCTTTCATCTATCATCGTAAAACCGCTGGTTTGAATCAGCTGTGGGCTCTACCAGCGGTAGCCTCTTTCACACATAGAGCAAACAATAACAGCTGAAAGAATGTCAACCAATACGCTCCATTTAATTAGTAATACTGAACAAAATATTGCGGCATGATCCCGCAACCGTGTATGCTTTCACATAGCCATCCGGTTTTCCACGTTAGACTGTGAAAAAAAGACCTTTGAAATGCCACAGACATCGTTTTGGCTCAGAGGTGGGTCAAACCCCTTTCCTGCTCTGTAACTTTCATCCAGCCCAAACCTTACTGTTGCTGCTCTACAAACAGCATTTGGTATCCTAAGTCATATCATCACAATATTGAACGTTATCGCACATCTCAGATTTTCCTTATATCATGCAGGCCTACCTCAGGCCCTTGTTCCCTTCATTTCGTATTTGGTCAAGTGGTTTCTTCCTACGATGGCTGACGTACAAAGCAATCAAAGGCTTGGCTACATTTCACTAAAGCCAAAGATAAGGAGAAAGTGAAATGCCCCCGCTGCTGAAAAAAATCCTAGAGGAAACAGTGCTATTTGAGAACTGCTGCTGTTATAAAACTTTCTCTGGCTGGGCAAGAAGTACAAGCCAAACAGAGGCTTACCAAACACTGCTTTTGTCACATTTTCTCAAATCAAAAAATTCTAGATTTTCAGTTCAAAGATTTGAACTTTTAGTGTAACAGCTTGTTCTGTCTTAGTTTAGTCTCTGGTTGAAAGTTGCTTCACTTGAAGGAATAGTTCAACATTTAGAGAAATACCCTTATTTATTTTCTTTCTGAGAGTAAGATGAGAACATTGATATCAATCTCATATCTGTATGTTAAGTTACTAGCTGGAATCATAATGTGGTTAGCCCAGCTTAGTGTTGGTAGGTGTATTTTTTTAATCAGACAGACAGAATCAGAATAGCTGTTTCCCTCACCTTCCAGACTTTGTGCTAATCTAAGTTAACCACGTCCAGCTCTGTACTTAACAGACACAAGATTGATATACATTTTTCGTAATTTTATGACATGTCAGAGAACACAGATATGTGGGAGAGATTCTGAATGTGCATGTTCTGAATGTGCAGAAAGTTTTGCAAACATGAGCAGAAAACCTGCTAAAAAACACAAGCTATTAAAGTCCAAGAGTTTATAACTGAATTAAACTGAACTCATTTATCATTGAGGTGAAAAGGCGCCACATGCACATTTAAAGAGGTTACTTTCCCAAACAAAAGACTCAACAGATGAGGGAAGACTAAATCATGCACGCATGTGTGCTGACTCAGCAGGGATGATATTACATGAGAAAAAGGATCTACAAGAGAAAATGCATATTTGAAAGTAATACAGAATGCCTGAGAGCCTTACTACATTATAATGTGTTATAGTTTTAGATTTTGAAATTTCACATGCCACATGAATTGTGTTTCCCTATAAATAAATAAATATATTTCCACCATAAATTGGTGCAGAAAAAATCACCAGAATGCAGGAAATTAAGTGTTCAATTAATGCTCAAAATCTTCACATAATTCAGCATTGAATAAACATTAAAAAAAATCTTGTCTCGTCTCGATTTCGTGAACTAAATATCGTGTCTCGTGAGATGATTGTCTCGTCACACCCCTTTTACCCATGAACAGAATCCCTGTTTGTATCCTAGAGAAGCACTCCCATGCATAAACAGGCTAACCAACATTCATATACAAGTCCCCATCAGGCCCATTATCAGCAGGATAAGCCTTCACAGAACACATCACATTTGGTTGACGAGTCTAAACAAGAGGATGTGAGCAACAGTTTGGCCTCTTGGACTGCACCGTACACATTGAAGAGGACAGGATCCTCCACCTTGACAAAGACCGGTTCACCCAAAAGATCACACACCTAAATACAAGAAAAGCAATCCAGTGTATGCTGTCCAATGCAGAGAGAATTTTACAGACCTGTGTATTGGGGAAACTAAACAACCACTACACAAACACATGGAAAAAACTCACCAAGTCAAGACTCAGCAGTTTACTTACATTTGAAGGACCCTCTTTCAAGAAAAACAATGTTCCATTCAGGATAGGTAGGACAGATGGTTTGAAACAGGAGTGAAATGGGTCATTTACTCAAGAATCAAGAAAACATCTCACAACAGGGACAAGGTTTGCGAAACCACTTATCCCCCAACTACCATGGTGTCCTTTCATCTCTTCCCAGGAGACCGAACAAAGGCTTTCATTTTGCCTCAATGGTCATTCAGACTTGGCCTCAGGTGACTCTAACAACCATAAAAATGGTCCTTACAACAGCCCGGAGCACTAACAAACCAAGTAGTATCCATCACATAACATAACATGACATAACTGAAGAGGCCTCTTGGATGATCAACTAAGTCCAGTTGCTCTTGGCATGGGAAAATGATCGGAGCAAATGTAAGCCAAAAAGTCGTTAAAATGAAATGTGCTAGATGTCTGAACAGTATTCACTATAATTAGCCACCCTAGTGCATTTGAACGTATACAAGCCTGATCCTTATTTTACTCACATGTGGACGTGTGGCGGCTGGAAGCGTCCCTGGTTGATGTTGTAGAAGGTGAAAGCCTGAGTGGGGTTGGTGCTATACTCATCCACTTCCACCGCAGTCCTGCTGCCACGCTGGGCGTGTGACTGAGTCTGGGACTGCTGCCGCCTTGCTGCCATAATCTCTGACAGGGTGAAGGCCATGGCACTGGGGACCGGAAGCAGAGCGGTTGCAGGAGAGTGAGGTGTCAGGTGGGGGGTTTAGCTGCTTGTTGTTTTTGCTTTAGGATAGTCCCAGCCTGAGGAGTTGGTGTTAGGAAGCGTCTTGACAGGCTCAAACCCTCGCTGAGCTCACATTCACAGTGAGCTGAGGAGAGAACATCACCTTCTCCCTTCTGCTTTTCTTTTTCACTGCAGCTCCTCTGCACCTGAGAAGAACACAACAGAGCAGGGCTGACATGAAGAGTGTGTGGTAAAGATGGGAATTCAGAGAAGTGGTGAAGCAATCAGTCGACTTTCATTGTCACTTATTAAGCCAAACATTTTATGTTTCAGCTTCTGAAATTGAAGAATTTTATATTTTTTCTTTGTTTTACTGGATATCATTGTAAACAGAATTTGACAGTTTATAGATTAAACTTAATTTGATACATCCATCCATCCATCCATCCATCCATCGTCAACCGCTTATCCCGTGTACAGGGTCATGGTTAATTTGATACAAATGTATTAAATAGTAGAGATCAGGTTGCAAACCCTCTGACTCCTAAGAATCATTTAGCTCTGACACCATTGATTTCTTTTTCAATGTTTGTCCATTTTTACAGTCACACTCTCAGTGTTCAGCCACGGAAAGGGAAAGGATGTGTGGGTGAATTTTCCCAAACTGGGTAAGGTTACAAATAACAATTATTTTCATTTGGTGGTTTTATCCAACCATCAGTTCGACATCAGAAGATATTAAATTTCCCACCACAGAAGACAAAGAAAAGCAGCAAATCATCACTTTTGCAAAGCTGGAACTCAGGAGTGTTTGCTATTTTTTCTTCAAAAATTGATCGAGTAATGTATTAACCAACTGATCATTTTAGGGCTACAACTAACAATTTTCATGCCAAAGAATCAATCAATCAATCAATCATTTTGTTCAGATTTAACTCATAAATGGCCTATAAAAAGTGTCTCCCAAGTTATGAGAGTGCAAGGTCTTCAAAATGTTTAATATGTCTGACCAACAGGTCATGAAAGATATTCAGTTTACAATGAAATAACAGAGAAAATCCTCACATTTGAGAAACTGGCTTGCTTGATCAAACTGCTATCAAAATAACCCTAACCCTCTATTTAATCTAAGTTCTTGAACACCGTAATGTCTTATTGACAGGTGTGTCAGAAGCTCTCAGTTGGTCACTATTACACGGTTCTTCAACAGTCCATAGACCTTCATCGGTACAATCAGTTAACAAAACAGCACCCGATTGTGTAGGTAAACTCAGCATACACATCAACCCATGTGCACAATACAGAATTAATGCAGAGCACCAATCTGGTACCAGTGATATTCTTTATTTTCTATTAACATCTGTATATCTCACTGCATGGAACTGACTAGGATCAGTCTTTTTGTAAAAAGCATATAGACTGTGCTTATATAGCACCGTTTCTTCTTCTTCAGACCACTCAGTTTACACTACATGTCACATTCACCACATTCATACACTGATGGCAGAGACTGCCATGCAAGGTGCCAAATGCTTCTGAGAATGGAACTAACAGTCACACACACTCACACACAACGTGTGATGGCACATTGGGAGCAATATGGGGTTTAGTATCCACCCCTGATCTTCTGATTAGTGGACGACCTGCTCTACTTCCTGAACCACAGCCACGAGCCACAGCCACCCCTACTACTGCGCATTATGGTGGCTAGGTGATGAAGTGCAGTCATACTGTCATTCACAAGAAAATATTGTCTTTTGGAAAATTTGTTTCGTTTAGCCTATTTATGTCATTAACATAAATAATAATAATAATAATATGATTTATTTATGCATTTCTAGTATGCGGTACATTTTAGTAATACAGGCATTAAAAGATAACTTTTAAAAAATTGTAGTATCTTAATTATCCATCTGTGTATGAATGTTTATTAGGGCCTCCTCTACAACAATCTGAGCAAAAACAATTATTCCTCCATAGCCTGCAGAAAAAAACTGGTTTTTAAAGGCAAAGGCATGCAAAACTTTGCCTATTAGGAAGGTGTGAGGCACACTTGTATGCTGGCAATGCATTCCATTAAATGACAGAACTATGTTGTTTTGAAAGCTTACAGGCAAGTGTGACATCCCCTCCAGTTGCCATAGTACAAGTGCATCTGTTAGCTCAGGTTAAATCTGATATTTTAATCTAACAGAGTCTCACAGGCTGCCTGAGCTCAGCATCCTCACTTTGAATAAGAAGCTAAATGAAAAACAGATGTTATACAGAATGTTAGTCAGGCTACAAATTGTAGCTCAAATGCTTGAATGATTTATTCATTACAATTGTTCTTCAGTTTGTGCTCTCTTTGTGTCTTGTTTCCCGTATATGATGTTATGTACAGTATTTTATTTTCATTAGATTTTTGCTCAAGAGAAAGAAAATAATAACTGAAGTGACAAAATCCTTTCAGTCCTCGTCCCTGGTGTGTGAAGCCTGCATGTGTGTCGTCCAGTAGAGCTGGATTTAGCTGTGCAGCTCATTTTTGGAGGGAGAGAGCGGAGCCGATGAGAGGCGCTGAGATGACAGGGATGCTGGGAGATGGAGGTGATAATTTGGGGACAGGCAGCTTTGGCAAAGTCCGACTGGACCACTGTGCGATGTCGGCGCGCCTTCCTCGATTCCTCATTCACTGCAACCTCACACGCTGACAGTACACTGACGTGACAGATACACACTTCACACTTCACACCGTGGTTGTTTGTCACGGGCAAATCCCAGCATGCTCTGTAGATGTGTTTCTAGAGTGCATACATTACATGTGTGTGTTCCGTGTGCACATAGGTTGATGTGTATGCAGGCCTGTGCATGCATATTTAAATGTGTTTCCGTTATCATGAATGTGACACTGACACTGCCAGTGCGAGACAGAAAGATGCATTAGCAGATGCTGTAATATTATAACACATTGGGCCCAAATGCACTTTTCTAGATTACGTAGGACAACTGAATCTTCAGTTCAGCACCCATAGTCCACTCTCGGCCCTTATTTTATTCACTCTGACTGTCTAAAATAAAAAGGGTTAATCATTCTTTAAATGTGTAAGATAATTTCACGAGTATCTGTGACTACAGCCGGGGTTTGATAACATTTTATTAAATCTGAACCCTTTCAAATGTATTATTTAAAAAAAAAAAATCTATTTATCTATTCTATCTACATGTTCTTCCCTCTCATGTAGTTTTGTGCTTTCTCGTCCGCCTCTTGGTGGACATTTCTTGTCTCTCTGTGGTCATTTTGAGTCTTTCAGGGGTCGTTTTTAATCACTATGCAAAGCGATGTTATGCTATGTTCTTTCTGGACACTTCACGTCTGTTTTTGGTCATTTGGCATTTCTTTGTCAACATTCCACGTCTTCGTGGTTGCTTTGCGCCTCTTTGTCAACATTTTGCGCCTCTTTGTCGACATTTTGTGTCTCTTTGTAATAATTTTGCATCTTTTAGTGGTTGTTTTGCATTTCTTTGTGCTCATGTTGTGCCTCTGTAGTCTCTTTGTAGTCTCTATGTAGTTGTTGTATGTCTCTTTGAGGTCATTATGCTTCTTTGTAGTTGTCTGTCTAATAAGAAATGTTCACAGTCACTTCAAACTGGCTGCCGTCCAGGGGTCCTGATGCCTTGGGCCTTGGACATGTTCCCCATACGCCCACTCATTAATCCATCCATGTGAAAGTCTTTCCCAAAGTTTTCCGCATTTGTATTATTTATTGCATCAAGACTACGAATACACACAAGACACAGAATTCATGGAGAAAGATAGGTGAGGCAGCGTGATGCATTCAGGAGGAGGCTATGATGGAAGATGTTTTGCCCCTACTTAGATTGTGGCCATTTGGACACATTTTCCTTTAGACACAGTCAGATGACTTGTCTTACAGTCTGGTTCGTTTGAATCCTGCTGAACTAGGGCTGGGCGGTATATCTGTATTATAAGATATATCGATATAATTTCAAAAGAGATATAAAATTAGACAATACCATTTATATATAGTTTGATGTTGAGTTAATTAATATATGTTTCCGTAAAGTTCGGCCAGCGTCTCCTCCTCTGTCTCGCTCACCGCCCCGCCCCGCCCCGCCCTCTGTATCTGCACGCAGCGCCTTTCTCACAAACTCTCTAACAACATGGAGGCAGACATAGTGCCGGTCGACGGTTCAGTCAGTGTTTCCCACACATACACTTTACTTGGGCGGGCCGCCCAGGTATATTAACAGCTGTCTAGGTATATTTGGCAACCCATTTTGCAGAGAAACACAGTTGTTATTACGTTACAAGTCGCGGACATGGTGGATCTTTAGGTAAAGCAACAGTGAACACACCAACACATTCGTTAGCTACCACGTTGTTTTTGTTTTGATAGGCTACGTCCTTAACAAGCCTCCACATGCAGCTCAGCTGCTGCTGTGAACGGAATCGCAGGTTTTTTTCAACGACTTTATACAATGTAGCATACTACTGATGGAGAAAGTCACCAGAGCAGACATACAGGGAGAGAGAGACGGAAAGAAGCGAGGCACGCTGACGTGTTTGCAGCAGAGGTACGTTAGGTCTGTGAGTGTGAAGAAAAGAAAACTGAAGATAAAGGAGGCAGATTCAAATAGTGAGTAAACACTTAAACAAGGTGGAGAATGAAGTATAAGTGAAATGGTGAAATAAAAACCAAGCTACTACAAATAGTAAAAACAAACACGCTAAAGGTTTTCTTCTGGTATAGAATGTTGACGCTCCAGGAATGACTAATATCATATTCAAGAGTAAAGCCTAGATTAGGATTCATGATGCTTAGTAATTTTACAAACTCAATTAATTGACTTACATTTCAGTTGTAAAAAGCTGAGCTATCCAGCTATCTGAACCACTTCATCATTTTGGAATAAAAATTTTAAACTGTGCACAAAGAAGCCAGCATAAAGGTTTGCACCCATGGCTGTGCCCTATACTTCTAAGAACTCCCCCTTTAAGTTAAAACAGATGAAAGAGGTTGGAATCAGAAGAATTATTTTCCATGTTAGGAATTTGTTTTAATTCAGGCTCCGCAAGAAAACAGAAAAGTTATATAACATGCATTATCTTTTAACGCGCACTTTTAAAAAGTACTTTAATATGCAGTAGTCTCCGTTCATAGCCCACACTACCACAAAGAATAAACAGTTGGTCAAGACTCAGACTATGGACATAATGTTTCAGGGGATTTCCTCCTATTGAAATGAGTCCTCGTCTGCAAGGAGAGATGTAAATGACACTCAAGGCTCACAGAGGCTCCAGCTTAGTAGCCCCTGAATCATATGGGCTCCTAATCTGTTCATTAATTCATCTACTGAGAGGAGAAGAGAAGAGAAGAGAAGAGAAGCGAAGAGAAGAGAAGAGGAACAAAGCCCTGTGCAGCAACAGTAGGGACCAACAGTCACACAGATATAGCAGGCAGAGTACTGTACTGTATGGGATGTTGGCAGCCTGTAGAGCTGATAATAACTGCAGAAACAGAAGAGAGGCTGTCTGATTAATGCTCTCTCCTCTTGGGCATATTCTCTACAAGCGGACCTCTCAGACTGTGAGGCGATATTCTTTGCTTATTCACTTATTTTCTGCTACATATGGACACACACAGAAAATTAAAGTGCATCTAAGTGTGGCGCTGTATTACAGTTATCTGTTTTATGCATAGCCTGGAGATCTTCAGAGTGTGTGCTGGCTCTGTGATCTATATGGGAAATTCCAGCAAGATAAAAATATCAGATTAAACTAAGATGATCGAAGAATAATCAAAACAAATGCTTTTTGGAACATTTATCATTTCACTTTGTACTATACATTACTTTAACTAACTAATATTTTAGTCAGGCTTAATTCACTCACACACAGAATTTGTAGAAATTGAAATTAAATCCATTTATCTGTTCCTGAGAAATATCAGCTCCATGTAAATTTTGTAGTATTTTTTCTCCAGAAGATTCTGCAGTCCGCGCTCGGTTTAACTGAACTATAACAAAACTTTTTGCCATTTCGTCCCACAGGCTGCGCCAACGGTCTCTTGGAAGCTCCGGTAAGCTGCACTCTGCTCGGAGACTTTGCCCTGTGGATGTGGTGCTGCCGAAATCTGATCTAACATAATAGAGTTCTGGTAAGCCCTGCTGGAAAGCGTTATATCTGGGGACATGAACGCATGTGTGTATTGAAATCTCGACTACTCAGGCCACGCAGAACCCGCATCGCATGAGAAAACCAACACATTCAGGTAGATTAAGCCGGCAAAACGCAGCGCTGTGCGGAGGCAAATTTCTGCTCCGGACTTGAATGAACAAGAGACACATCTGCAGAAATGCATCTAGAAGAAGAAGAATCAACCTACCTTCTCCTGTGGTCAGCTGCAGTGAGGCTGCTCGGTGATGGATGTGGAGAGAGGACGGTGTCTGCGCTGCAAGAGACGCGCTGGTCAGTTTGAATGCGCACCCCGTGGTGCACCGGTGGAACGTCGTAGAGAGATCGGTTCTCTCTCTCTCTCTCTCTCTCTCTCTCTCTCTCTCTCTCTCTCTCTCTCAGTCCTGCCCACCGTATCTCCAGTTGAGCTGTACAATGAGGTGGGAGGGAGGACCGACAGCTGCTGCGCGGCTCCACAGCTCATTCACAGAGAAAAATATCACGGCCCCCACTGGGGCCACCAGGGCCATGTCCAGGATTTTATTAATAGGCTACTAAGGTCATGAGTCTATTCCATTTCCCCACTGCAACCCCACCACCCATAAGAAACATTTGACAAGCGTCCATGTAGATGTCCGTAAAACTGTGTTTTCTGTTCATTTGTTATCTTCCAATGATGATTTTAAAGGCTGTTTCAAACCCCGCGACACTGCCATGAAAGCTAAACTACCGCCCTTACTGGGACTGGATGCCCCTGTGTGTAAATAAATGCCATGTGTAACTGAGGGCAAGCAAAGTCCTTCTATGTGAACATACATGACTGATAAAAGACTCAGGCTTTGGGAGGTTTGTTCATGGTCAGTTAGTGAGTATTATTTAATTACAGTTAATCTATTAACAGGCTGGTTTATAAAATGTCAGAAAATACTGAGAAATGAATCATTACTTCCTAAAGCCCAGATGATCATTAAAACAGCTTGTGTTGTCCAACCATATTCCAAGGTATCTCTATCATATAGAACAAAACAAAAAAAGATGTTTTCACATGTATTATGAGAACGGGTTGACATTTTTAAATTGTTGCTTAAAAATGACTTCAACAATTGTTGTTATGGATCGACTAATTGATTATTAGACTAATTGTTTCAGCTCTAGTCTTACATTACACTTTAATTTTCATTTGGTGTACTGCAAATATCTCAATCTTAACAAGTCATTTAGGAGGACGTTTAGTCCTTAAATTGTAATTTTCTGAAGACAAGCACAGAGTCTGCCAATTGAGTGATATACTATTACTTGTTACAAATACAACTTTCTAGAGTTGTGTGTCATTTTGTTGGTGTTAATGCAGGGATCTGCCTCTTCTCTCATCTTATGATATTAGGGCCGAAGCTAATTTCTCAAAACCCCTGGTAGAGAGATTATAGAAAGAGACGGAGACAGAATTTTGTTCTTGATTTGAGAAAAACAAGTTGAAGGATGATCATGACAATGGACAGATTATGAGACACCGACTATATGCAGCAACAGAAGACACATAAAGGGCCCCACCTGCTACCTACAACACCAATGCACCCCCTCTCTTCCCCTGATCTCATTCTCCATCTTTTTCCATGTATGGTTATGCAGCCTCACCTTTTCTGTAAAGTGCTGCTATTGTTTGAGAATTGTTCCTGAACCTTTGTGTGTTCACACTGGAGATTAAAAACATGGTTTAAATCTTGGAGCACATCCACACTGGCACACCTCTCTACCCCTTACTTAGGTAAAAGTACAAGTACATACTTCTGTACTTTTACATAAGTGAAGTAAAGAAGTATTATCAGCAAAATCTATTGAAAGTACCAAAAGTAAAAGTACTTTTTTTGTTGTTTTGCAGTAAAATGTCTTTTGACTGATATTATATCTATCATTAAATTGCTACTACTGATGCATCAATTTTAGAGCTGCATTTTCCTGTTTAAGATGCTTGATGTGGAGTTAGTTTTGATACAGTCAGGTAGTTTTGTCCAGTAGTTCTTAGGGATCGGGCCCCTCCAATGGAGTACAAGATCAATCTGAGGGTGAATACTGAAATGTACATGTGACAAGTTTAAAGGGGAAATGTCTCCCCAATCTAGACACAGTTTTTTTGTGAGGTATCACAAACAAAAAAAGGTCGGGAAGCACTATTTTTGTACAGGTATTATGTTGGAAAACAACTGGCCAGAGATATGACAAAAGATCAGACTTGGTATAGCGGGTAATCCATATTAAAGCAATAAAGATCAGGGTGTTAAATATCAGGGCATCATTGCTTTTGACTCAGCATTATTATTTTCAAATGAGAAACATTTGCTCTATTTCTGGGCCCCATGACCCATTAGGCCCCTGGGCTCTCTGAAATTTGCAACATGTCCTCATGCCTAAATGAGAAAATAGGCAGATTGTCAGTGACTCCCAAAATGACATATATGATGTTGGAAAATACAAGTCCACTGACAAACGTGCTGGACCTTAAGGACGTTACAAGTCATATGATGTTGGTTACGTGGTTAATAGTATGAAACAGTCACAGTTTCGGAAATGGTCGTGGTTTGGGTTAAAATAAATACATAACGTAAGTCACGTGACATAAGTAGCCTAAGCCACATGGCTTGACTCACGGGACATAAGTTACCTTTGTAACGTTGTTTATCTTAAAACTTTAAATAGTTTCACACAGGACTCGAAACCCGTTCTCTTGGGTGAAAGTCCAGAATTTCTTAGACCCTCTATATGTCACCTGGCTTCATTTGCTCCTGTTATACATGGTCATACATCAATTTGATCAGGACATGGAATCCTGATATTCAGAACAAACAGATCAATAAATTGTATTGTATTAGTAAACCTTCATAAGCTCCAGCCTCTTAAATCTTTATGTTTGAACTGAAATGAAAAAAGAATTCACTCTCTATCATTTATTGGCTATGTAAAGGATAATCAGCTGAATTACAGCATTACAGCATATCACCACCTCTGCTCCTGTTCATCACCAGGTAATTGGACTGGGATTTAGGCTGGTAATGAGCTAAACAAATAGACCACAATCTGGAGCTCAAACACATGCATCCATAATAACCACCATGCTCAAACTTAGAGTGGAAGCTTCTGCGTCTCAAGTTAGAGTGAGTACGCCCTCTGCTGCCCACATATGGTCAATTTGTCAATTAATTAAATCTACTGAGCAGGACTAAGTTCTTCTTTCTATGTACAGCACCTGCAAGGGTGGTGAGGTATAAAAATGTAAAAACAAAATGGTGAAAAATGTCAAAGAATTATAAAGTTTATTTCTACAAGATTTAAAAACCTCCCACATAAGTACATTGCATTCATTATTTCAAGAACATTATCCTCAACCATTGGAATGTCCTCAGAAGTGTTCCATTTATAAATAATATCAATTACATTTTTCCCTTAATCAAATTTAAACATCTGAGAGACAGACTGGTTTATTTTGACACAAGGAATCCACCTAACATTGTCTGCTGGTTTCAAAATCAATTTTCAGGTGTTTTCTGCTGTGGCCAAAGTGCACAAAACTGATCAGACACAAAATATGTCAGGTTTGGTGTACGTTTGACAAACAAAAAGACCTTTAAAGATCTGTATTTATGAACAGAAGCTGCAACAAGCATTCAAAACATGAGTCATTCTATAAGTCGTGTCAATTTTATTTACATTGCCCAAAAATCTAATATTTTTCCTTAAAAAATCTGTACAGCATACTCTATTCTTGGACCATCAGTTCAGGGGAAAATTGGACAAAACCTCAGGAAGAGCAACAAAGAAGGCTCTTCCAGGTCTGAAAGACATGCAAAAGATGTTGTCTGTACAGAATAATAATAAAAATTTAAGATAGATAGAAAAGATGGATAAAAGGCCTTGGAGGACATCAAGCACCTTCTAGAGTGTTACATTTAAGAAACCCCCAGCGCCTCAATAACGCCTAAAATAACAAACCTAAAATCAATCAACTATTAGGCCTAGATACATAATTCTGGTCTCCTTTGACAGGTCTGAAGCTAAGGAATATGAATCAACTGAACTGAACCTAAATGAACCAAATTTGCTTTTAAAGAGTAAATGGAGATTCAATAAAGGAAAATTATGTTTTCATCCTCGCCTGGTATAAAATCTATATTTATTATAGCAATATCTCCATCAAAATCATCTTCCTGCAGCTAAATATCTTCTAACACACCTGGACTACAACTGTAACTGTAAATTTGATGAAAAGAAACTAATATACAACAGTTATTACCAAAAGCACTTCCATGCTTTATAGGCCCACAACTTGAGGACAGAACATCCTACAGGGCTGTGTGGGCTCTTTCTCTTTGTATTGAGCAGACAAATTTTTGGTATATTGGATGTCTGTGTAGCTCCTACGGTCGGCCAGTAGAAGCCGATAAAGACCGTCTCTCCCAACACAACTCTTCTTCTCTCCTTCATTTTGAGGAGAGAAACAAAACTCAGCTATCGGGCAATACCAAGATGGCGGCCCACAGCGATCAGACACAGAAAACAGCTGTTTTTGTACTGAAAACAGCGAAAACAGCAAAAGTAAGTCAGCGCTTCTAACTGTAAATGTATATTGGTGCATTTGTTGTTATTATTATCTAGCTAATAGCTAATAACTGTGTGGGTTTAGTGATTTGAGTGATATGAGTTACACAGCTGATCAGAGCTGGAGCTGAGCTTTGTTTAGAGTAGTCAGACTGCAATGATGAGATGACAGATATCTGGAAGGCAATAACTGCAGCCATGCACAGTTATTCTAGAGTGATTTATGTTGTGAAATACGCTCATTTAGATTCTTGGTGTTTGATGTGGAATGGTTGGTTTGACCTTCTAGTGGAGCCTCCTAGCTTCACAGAGGTGTTTAGCATGGATAGGGTGACAAAATAGTAGGATCGTCCATGGATTTCCCATTTTCATTTTGAGGTGAAATTGCGTACTACGTACAGGGACACCTTTCATACAGAAGAATAACAGACACGGACACATTTATTACATTAGTAGAGGAGACAAGCATTCCATAGAGGAAGAATAGAAACGGACACCATTTACAGAACACAGCAAGAGACAAGGACTACATTCACACAGAAGAAGAGGAGACAAGGACACCATTACATAGAGAAGGAAGAGAAAGGGACACCATTCACACAGAAGAAGAGACAAAATCACTATTGACATGGAAGAAGACCAGACAGAGACACCGTTCACACAGAAGGAGAAGAGACAAAGAAAACACACGTGTAGGAAAAGAAACAGGAGCCCATTTCACAAGTAAGATAATTGTAACATATTATATTTAATTA